TTCTACAAGGTTGTGGGGACCAGTGTGGGTAACTATTGAGCTCATGGGCATAAAGGACAGACAACATCACATTATTATTCCCCCATGGCTGAAAGGATGATCATGTTTGGTAGGACAGGGATTCAAATTCATGACCTGCAGATTAAGACTCAAGATCCCTGGCCATGCCACACCAACACCAAGACACATGCTTGTTACTCCAACAGTTTTGTACAACAATAACCAGTTCTTAATACTATAGATATAAATTATACTACAAGCTGTCCTATGGTAAGAGCAAAGAGCATAAAACTCGCATGTGATGCTCAAGCATACCATAAGGGTCCAAGTTAGTGTAGTCATGAAATTTGCGATTATTCTCGTAATACTTTAATATATTTTGTCACAATACTTCATTATAGTTTACTATTCATGTAATAATATCTTTGCTATGAACTGCTGTTCTCCTATTCCAACTGTATTTCATATTTGTCTGTTTTTAACTAACTTCAAACCAGAGGATGAAATTCTGTTGGTACTCAGTACCAGTTCTTTTTATTTTCTTCCATATGGACTACCTTTATCAAGTTCCAATATGTTTTGTATTTCTTTATAATTAAATTTGATGAAGAGGTACCATTACCTTGCAGAAAAGTTAATACTGTATACACTGTCAAATATCTGTTCTTCTATAAAATGAATTTAATCACTGCTTATAACTATTACATATTAATCAAGAATATAAGCATTTTCCATTGAAATAAAAAACCACTGCATTCTTGCAGTCTTTTCATGTACTATTTCAATTAAATAGCTTAAAGGCATTTTTTGTTGTTGTTTTGTAAATTGATATACTGGTAATTTAAAGCTTAATGGCACCCTATGTAATAACATGGGTTAAATGGCCAAGTCAGAGATACCTCAAAGTTTCAGGTACAGACATCTTCAATTTAAAACTTCTAGCCAAAGAGAGGACAATCAAGTCAGAAGTAGCAACTGCATCCTACATTTGGTTTGTTTTGAATTTTGTGCAAAACTACTCAAGGGCTATATGTGCTAGCTGTCCCTAATTTAGCATCAATAGACTAGAGGGAGAGCAGATAGTCAACACACCACCCCACCAACTCTTTTACCAGCAAATGGAGGGATTAATCATAACATTATAATACCACCACAGCTGAAAGAGCAAGCGTGTTCAGTGAAAGGGATTGGAACCCCTAAACATTGCGAGTCAAGCGCCCTAACTGCCAGACCTGTCTCCTACATACTCTGTGATATCATTAAAATATAAAAGCAGATTATTTTATAATTTATTTAGTTTTTATTAATGAAGTTTTCAGCAAGTTTCACACAATTTCTTAAAATAACAACCATAAGCATTATTCCACATGATTATATCAGGAAAAAAAACAAAAAACATTTACAACTTTCATGTAAACAATACGGATTGGAGTAAAATAGCACCGTGATATTGATGAAAGATGCAACGATTAATAATAGTCATAATAAACGAAAGATCTCTTGTAAAGCTCGTTTCTAGTCCCAATCTTAGAAATATTTTGTTCATGTTTACATAAGAAAACAACAAAGCTATTCTGGCCACAAATTTAGAAATGGTAAAAACGAAAATATGTTTCCAATCCAAAAATTAATCGCATTGCAAATATGAGATATTTCTGGCATCCTTGTATCACTGATCCAAATCTTGCAAGAGTTGGACACACTTTTTGTGCCGAACACCAGTAGCAATGTCTTCAGCTGCAAACATATAAGAATATATAAATGGACAACTATACAAAGAGATTAGCATATTAATATCTCTCTCCTAATACACTATCTATATTTACAATGTCTGTAAGTTCAAGTACAAATTTATATTTAAATTAGATATTTTGAAGAAGAAAAAAAAAAGATCTGGCAAAACAAATATCAAATAATATATAGCAGTAGTTAATATTAAAGTAACATTAATAAAAGATACATATAAATTTAAAGTTATTTAAGCTAACTAGAAGTGACTAAGAAGTTTATTAAAGCTGAGAAGGTAACTATACAAGAAACAAACTTTCAGTTAAAGGTGCCAATGTTTATTTATAAAATGTATATAATTATGTAAGAAACTTATGGCTCTTTCAATGTCATTAAAGTAGAAACTTTTAAAAACTGGATAAGCAATTTAAAATTATTACCAGTATCTCTAATGCATGGGTAACAGTAAGCTTTAAAACAACTATCAAAATTAACATTTTCTGAACAATACAGGTTTAGCTGAAAGTTTCCTTTCAATGATTAGTGAATACTAACATATGTAACCACTTTCAACTGATAAATACTGGGTCAGGTACAAAAAATTGCATTTCCCATGACTCATCCTCCCATATATTTAAGCCTTGTATACCTTACAATTCCTGGCATGTTATGTTAACAAAACTTTTTACTTCACAAAAAATTCTAAGGAAATTAAGAAGAATTCTTTAGATCAAACAAACCCTAACTTATTTCTTGTATTTAAATGTTGATTCATATAGCATAGAACATGGATGTTTTGTAATGTGAAAGACATCTGTACTGTATAAAAAATCCTATATCATAATCAACATTTTCCAGCTATATTAGATCCTACCAGTCCAGTGAAGTTCAGGATAGAAAATGTTATCCAAAATGTTTCTAAATATTTTTGGTCAAATTTCATTTCAGAAAGTATATGCTGCTTCTAATAAGATAAACAAATCTCCATAATGAATCGAACCAGTTTCAAATGAGGTAACTCAGTTCAAAGGAACATGATATAAAAAAGCAAGTTATTGGAATTCAGAAAGTATATGCTGCTTCTAATAAGATAAACAAATCTCCATAATGAATTGAACCAGTTTCAAATGAGGTAACTCAGTTCAAAGGAACATGATATAAAAAAGCAAGTTATTGGAATTCAGAAAGTATAGGCTGCTTCTAATAAGATAAACAAATCTCCATAATGAATCGAACCAGTTTCAAATGAGGTAACTCAGTTCAAAGGAACATGATATAAAAAAGCAAGTTATTGGAATTATTGAAAATTCCAAGTTCACCATCTTAAACTGCTATATTCTACACTCTATTAGCTGCAAACTACCATGAAATTTATACCTGTTCAAAATTTTTAATATTTAAAAATCAAATCACAAATTATATACTGCACCTCTTCTTCCTTTATTGTCCAAAGCTCTAATATTAGCACCAAGTTGAACAAGTTTATAAATAACTTCAGACTGTCCCTCCTGTGGAAAAAATAAAAAACACTATGATTACTTTACATTCTGCATAAACTGATAAAGTTGAAGGCATGGTACATCTGAAAACACATATTTATAAAATATCATAAGGACATGTTTTGGTCAATAAAGAATATCAATTAACCCAACAGATACAGAACATGGGTGAAAGTCCATGTCATCTCGTTTGTTGAACTACTATTTCATGAATTCATGTCAATAACTTTGGTATCAAACTGTAGATTATAATTCAAGTTCCAGTACTATATATTACTCAATTTCTTAATTTAAAAGCAAATATTAAAAAACACAGATAAACATCGATTTTTGTGTGTCATGTGGTATGTTGAATGCAGCATTGGTTCAAATTAGATGTTTGTGAAATCAAAAATACTTATAGTTTCGAATGAATTAGAAACTCAAATTACCGATATTGACAAGCTAGAATATAAAATAAGAGCCTCTTTTTTTTCTATTTGCTAACATATTGCTCATGTAATAAATCAAACACAGTGGCACCCCACCCACCTCTTTCCTTC